GACTTCTTGTTACTCACTAAAGACTTGCAAATAAGAATATATGAATACTTGGATCTTTCCAGGTTGTAGGTTCCTGGCAAGACCTGGCCCTGGTCTCTGCCGATTGTCTACCAGCTGCGTCCTCTCCTTACCATCCAAAAGTTGTGTGAATCAGTCTTGCTCCTTCAAGGTAGCAGAGCTGCGGCTCCCTCCTGATGTCAGGAATCCTTGATACAGACTTCCACTGCTGCCATCACTTCGTTTATTAAGTAACTATTAATTCCTTCTGTTTTCCTAAGACAGGTGAACCTACCTAGCTGCCTAGCCTAGATTGAGACATTTTCTTTCTTTTCATTGCTCCTTTCTTCTTTGCACCCATCACAGTTCCTATTACATGTCCATCTAGCAATAACACAAACACTTCTCATCTTCATAAGACACTGAGGAGAGTGGACAGGACACTTTATTCACAATTGTGCTTTTAGAATCTGACCTGATATCCAGCACATCACAGATAGAGTTCAGGAAGTTTTGGGGGGTGGGGGATAAGTGACTAAAAGACAAGTTAAAAGAAGATGCCACACATCATGTTTAAGACAGGCAGCTGTAACAGAATGGCAAAAATCAATAGTGGACTAAGGCAGGAGAAGAGGGACTTACAGTTATTATTGGTGGAGATCTATCTACCTATCTACATATATAAATGGATAGATTAGATAGATATCTTGGTACTGTCTGAAGTACCTATCAATACATTCACTATTGATACCTACTGAATGAATAATTTCACACCTTGGTATTCATTCCATAGGCACTTAAGTATACAACAGTGCTCCCAAAAGTCTTGAAAAACTGGGAGCAACTTTTAAGAGGAGGCTGAAAAGCTAAGGATACTCCCTTAAGTGAATTTCTGTACCATTTTTTTTTTTAAAGCTAGGGACCACTAAACAATAATGGTGCATCTTTTATCAAAACAATGAATCTAATCAAAGTAGAAAGAGTGTTAATTAGAATTCATCTGCCTCACAGGCATTGAGAGGGGCAGGAGGGGGGTATATTGGAGTTCCTGGTGGTGAAAAATAAAGGAAGGGAAATGTGCATGACCATTGCATGACCGAGACTTAAACCTGAGAGCTTTGTAACTTTTCCCACAGTGATTCAATAAATTTTAAAAAAAAGCCAGGGACCAAAGCAATAGCAGAGCAAGTAGGGCATTTGCCTTGAACGCCGTAGACCTGAGTTGGAATCAGTTGTGATTCCTGAGCACAAAACCAGGAAAAAAACACTGAACACCGCTGTGTGTGTGTGTGTGTGTGTGTGTGTGAGAGAGAGAGAGAGAGAGAGAGAGAGAGAGAGAGCGCATAATGCATAATGTACTGATATATGCTCTAATGCTAGTAGCAGATTGGAATTGCATTAAAGTATGTATGATTTTAAAGTAATTTTTATTTTAATAAATAACACTCCATCTGGGAGCCCTTTCCTCCCAGCTCTGCCAGGAGTAAGTCAGGAGTAAGAGCCAGGAGTAAGTGAGCACCTCCGGGTGTGGCCCCAAAACAAAAACAAACCAAAAATGGTACGGTTTCTTTTGGGTGGGTGTGTGTGTGGGGGGGGGGGGGAATACACACAAGAAGGTTCTTAGGGAACCATATGCGGTGGCGGAGCTGCCACGTGAAGGGCAAGCACCTTAACCCCAGTACTATCTCTCCAGCAAAAGCAAATTTGGGGGGACTTAGCACAGCGGGTACGGCGTTTGCCTTGCACGCGGCCAACCGGGGTTCGATTTCCAGCATCCCATATGGTCCCCTGAGCACCGCCAGGAGTAACTCCTGAGTGCAGAGCCAGGAGTAACCCCAGTGCATCGCCGGGTGTGACCCAAAAAGCAAAAAAAATAAAAAAAAATTTAAAAAAAAGTAAGTCTTGTATAAGAGGGAGGTAAGAAAAAAACAAATTATTTATCACCATTATCTCTGGAAAATAGGGAGGGGATGGTGTCAGCAAAGACTTCCACTCCCCTAACCCCACCCCGCCCGAATGTTCGTAAGTTCGTTAAACAGGCAAGTTAATACTTTCCAAATCTGTGCGTGTCAACTTCCAGATTCTTTGCAAAACAACGCTCGAAGAGAACGTGCGCGCTGCTTCTGCCACTACCGTAAGTAAATATAAGCGAAAACCGAGCTACCAGCAATGAGTGCACTAAAAGTGGGCCTCCTGGGGCCGTGAGGGCCGCGGACCACTCACGTATCGGCGTATCGAGTCTGTAAAGCCTTGGGGGAGTCTGGGAGGAAGCCAGCCCCGGCGGCGGGCAGCCCCCCGGAAGGAGCGCGGGGCAGCATCTCTCCACGACACGCGCCTTCCCGGGGACGCGGGCGCGAGGTTCGACGAGTCCCGTCTCCTCTCGGTGAGCCCAGATAACGAAGAACTGGGGCGGAGGGAAGGGAGGCAACACCCCGGACCCGCCACGCAGAGCCCCACCCTCATCCCCGACGCCCCCGGCCGTGAGCGGCGCGGGTGCATCCCGGGCGTCGGGGCGCGCGGCCGGACGGTGCCCGCGCGGGCAGACCACGCGACGAGTGTCACGGACTCCCAGGTCGGGGACGGGGGGTGGGGGTCCCGCGTCTTCCTCCCCGCGAGGACGAGCCGTCGGCGAAGGCTGCGAGTTCGGGTCGGAGGCCCGAGGAAGCCGGTGCGTACCCCGCGCGGCGTCCCCGAAGGCGGGGCCTGGGGTGGGGAAAGCGTCGCTCGAACCCCCCACACCCTCGTGCCGCCGGCCGGAGGGCCTCGGAGGCGGCGTCTCGGAGCCGTCGCGGGCCCCTTCCCTCGGCTTTTAGGGACCGCGACACCCCCCATCCCCCGCCCCGCGCCCGTGGCCCGCGACGCGCACACGCCCGCGGCGTGCGCTCCGTTTTGCCGAGACGAGGCTGGGGCCGGAGTGGTGCGCGCCCCGGCCAGGGTCACCGGCCTCTCCGGCGTTTCTCCTACCCAGTCCAGCGTCCCCAGGTGAATGTGAACGCACCTAAGTACTCCTTTCTTTGCCTCATCGGTCCGCCTGGGGAATTTTTTTTGTTTTCTTTAAATGAGGTCTTTCGCCGCGCAAAGGTCTGGCCCAGGCTTTCCCCAGCCCTGCCCGTTCCCGGCTGCAAACCTTCCCCCGGGAAGGAACTGCAGTGGCAGCGCGGAGGGACTGTCCCGGCGGCGGCCAAGCGCCTAAAATAAAGCGGACACCCCTCTCGCCACCCGGCTCCGAACCTCGGGAGTGCCCGGGCCGCGAACCCACGGCGTCTAGGTGGCGGCACCCTGCACGCCCCAGGCCCAGCGCCCTAGCGAGGTGTCCTTGGACCCGGGGCTCGGACGCTGCTGCCGTCGGCCAAATCGGTTCAAGGGAATTAGAAAGAGCAGGATTGAGGGGGGCCTGTGGGGTGGGTTGCGAGCGCACAGGGGGGCGCGGGGACCCTGGCCAATACGACCCCCCACCCATCGCGGCGGGAGAGACCCAGGGAACGTCTCGGGAAGCCGGCGGCGATCAAGCCCGGTCCGGGTCCAGGCGAGCTTTCGAGCCGAGTTACGAGTCCGACCCCCCAGGGGCCCGGGGTGGGGTCTGGGGGCGAGTCCAGCGCGGGCCAATAGCTGCGGTGGGCGGGGAGGACCCCGACCCCGGGACCCGCTCAGGCCGCGTCCCTTCCCCACCCTCGACCTCCCTAAGCCCCGCCGCCCCGGCCGCCGCCTTCTTAAACCCGCGCGCCGCCCGCCCGCCTCGAACCCGCGCCGCCCGCCGGCTCCCTGCACGCTCCCGCTCGGTGGCGCTGTCGAAGGTGGGTGCCGGCCGGGGACGCGGCGGTGGTCCGGGACTGTCGTCGTGTGGCTGCCCGCACTCCCTCGGGGCCGGTGGCTTTCCCCTTTGGGGGGGGGGACTCTTCCTCCTTAAAGGGCCCTCGAGCCCCCCTCTCCGAGTTGCGGGGGTCCCTGGGACCCCCTGCCGCTGGAGGCGGAGGCGGGCAGATGTCGGGGTCGCGGCTGACCTCTTCGGCTGACCCCCTGTTCTTTAATTTGAGTCACGACCCCGCTTGGCTTCCTTATTGGACTCATTGATCGCGCCCTCCAGCCCTGCCCGCCCCGGAGGGAGGTGGGTCTGGAGCCGCGGGGGGATTTGCGTCGCTTCGGTTAGGGGGAAGGCGACAGCAGGTGGGGAACCTGGCCTCTCGCACCTCGATTACCGCGTCCGTCCTCGCCGGCTCCCCAGAGGTGACCCCACGCCCCCCGAAGCTGCCAGGGGATTTGGTGTTTCTGGAAGGGCCCGGGGTGGACGTGGCCAGACTCGTGGGTCTCGTGGGAAATTGCGCGCGGGCCGTAGGCCTCCCAAAGAGGCGCTCCGTCTCTTACCCCTAGAGCCCGGATCACGCGAGTCCGTGGGGACTGGACGCGGGTTTGAAGCCAGGACCCCCACGTCTGCTCCGGGGGCGTGTCACCTCGGCTGGGAGCCGGGGACCCGGGAAGGTCGGGCGCTGACGGCTGCCGCCCCAGCTCTCAGGACGGCCCGGCCGGGAGTAGGAGGGCCAGGCCAGCCCGGTCCATCCCGGGAAGGAGCTCTGAAGGATGGGGGAAGGGAAGGGAACTAACTGGACCGCAGATTTTGCAGGAGCCGGGTTTGGGCCGGATGTAGAGACGGGGTTGTTGGAAACCAAGCTTGCTGGGTCCAGGCGTCTTTGGAGAGGGGCAGGAAGAAGCAACGCTTAGAGGGAACTGGGTTTCAGCTGGATCCTAGCAGATTTTCGTTGTGTTTGGGGGCTGTGGGAGGGTGGTGGTGCTTGTATTGCGTTTGGTTGTTTTTTTGTTTTTTTTTTTTTGGGGGGGGGCATGCGTGCGGGATGAGCCGGGATTCACTTCTCCAACTCCCCGCGCCGGCTCTGGTGCGGGCCGCTGGGCAGGCGGGGACAGTGGCGAGTCAAGCCGTGTCCCAGGTCCTCAGCAGCGCTTTGCTCTTCCACAGACCGAGGAGCGCGCTCCCTGGCATCGCCCCACCGATGGCTCTGCAGCCGCCAGGTGAGGCCGGGCCTCAGGACCAGGTGTGCTACCCGCCCGAGAAGCTGCAGACCAGCCCCCAAGAGCTGGCCGCCTACTACGCGCCCTTCCCGCCCTACGGCCACTACGCCAACGGCCTCGCCGTGCCGGGGCAGGACGCGCAGACCTTCCAGCAGCTGGAGGCCGTCGCGCCCGCCCCCCAGGTGCTACCCCCCTTCGTGTTCCGCAACGCGCCTCCGCTGCTGAGCCCCGGCCTGGCCCTCCCGCGGGAGCCGCTCTACGATGTGTCCTGGTACAATAAGCTGCCGGCGTGGTACCCAATGACCCCGCTCCCCAGGGATGTGACGCACTTCTTCGGCGGCGGCGAAGACTTCGGTCACCCGGGGGGTGGCCGCGACGACGGCAGCCAGTGCTGCGCCCCCGACGCTTGCCTTCCCCCGCCGCCCCCTGTGGAGGCCCCCCTGGTACCCGAAGGGAGGAAGGCAGCCTCCCACTTGGTGTCTAGCGCCCCCAGTCAGCGGGCCGAGGAAGCCCCCAGGCTCCGGAACCCCGAGGGGCCGCCGGTTCATCGTTATCACTTCACGCAGGACGACCTGCACCTCGTTCTCTACGGGGTGGTCCCCAGCTCTGAGCAGAATGCTCCCCTGCATCACGCCATTTCCGGACTCTTTGTACCCACCAACGGTCCAGGTAAGTGTCAAGGAGCTGGGTTGCATGGTTGGCAGAGGAGAAGGGGCCCTTCAGGGCATTTGGGAGGGTGTGCTTGCACCTGCAGATGGGTGGGCCCTGGGAAGACCTGGCTTCAGTTCCTCACTTAACTGCATGGCTCCCGAGGTTTGTTTCGGCTGGAGCTGAGGGTAGGGAGAGAAACGCGGAATGTGTCCTATTCTCCTGGCATAATTCGAATTAGCCAGGAGAGAACTTCCTCCAGTTCTTAGGAGTTGAGGCTCATCCTTCTCTACCTTGATCCTGTCAAATCAAAATGAACTCAGGTTTTTTGTTGTTTTTTTGGGGGGGGCTTTTTGGGTCACACCCAGTGATGCACAGGGGTTACTCCTGGCTCCGTACTCAGGAATTACTCCTGGCAGTGCTCAGGGGACCATATGGGATGCTGGGACTCGAACCCCGGGTCGGCCGTGTGCAAGGCAAATGCCCTACCCGCTATACTATCGCTCCAGCCCCTAATCTCTGGTTCTTAACTTCTTTAAATGTGCCAACTGGGTGTATACATAATCTTGCGAGAATTGTTCCTAGTCCCATGTGAAATTGTACATGTAAAGGGGGCAGGGTGTGGACTGAGAGGCTGGAGAGGTAGTACAGGACTTACGGTGCTGGCCTCGTGTGCTACAGGGTTAAATCTCCAGCACAAGGTCCCCAGCACTGCCCGGAGCAAGCAATCTCAGAGTAACCACTAAGCACTGCTAGTGTGTGTGTATGTGTGTGTGTGTGTGTGTCTGTCTGTCTCTCTCTCTCTCTCACACACACACACACACACGAAAAGATAGTAGGAACCATATGGGGTGCAAGAGTACTATGTCTCCAGACTTTCATGTGACATTTAAAATCCTGTTTTTTTCTAGGGTCTGATTCTCTTCCTCAAGCTCTGGACAAACACTCTCTGCAAATACCAGAAGGTAACGTCTCTCGGGTATCCAGGCTTAGGTTTCACAAATGATTTGTCAGTTTCCCTTTTAATTTGTGTGCCCTGGCTCTCCCTTTATTTAGGTCTCTGCCTGAGGCAGACGAACTTTGGTGAAGTGCCACATTTTGGTGTGTTCTGCACAAGTATCATGGCCAAAGGAGTCAGGTTTGGGCCCTTTCAGGGAAAAGTGGTCAATGCCAGCGAAGTTAAGACCTACGGAGACAATTCTCTCATGTGGGAGGTGAGACTTGGGTCACCCAAACATATTTGCTTCTGCTGGGTTGGCTCAGGGGAAGGGGGGAATGGGAAGGGAGGCTGGTGTGGGGGAACCTTGGCCTCTGAGCCTGTGTTTGCACCCTGGCTGGGGAGAGGGGTGCAGTGGAAGGCTGTTGGTGCTGCCTATTTTGCAATATAAAGGGAAGGAAAGGCAGGCATTTACCCCATGAGATGCAACAACTTTGCATGAATAATATGGATTATATGCTGTTGTAGTCATCTTAGTCTGAAGGTTAGCAGGAAATATGTATTTAAAGAATTTGCACCTATAGAATTAATAAACTGTGTGTGCAATGTGTATTAATTATATGTGCAGAATGTGTTGCGTGTATATATGTATCAGATCATAGGCTTACAATAAATTTTTAGACGAATGCCCATGAAATTAGCTAAGTGGGGGTGGGGTGATAGAGAAATTACTGCAGGGAAGGCACTTGCTTGCCTTGTATGAGACCTGCCTGGGTTTGATCCCCAGAACCACATATGGGCCCCTGAGCAAAACTGGGCAAATCCTGCCCCCACCCCCACCCCCCAAAAAATTATTTAAATTTAAAAGGAGGGGGGTGATGCTTTTGACTGTAGAAGGGGGTTTGTTGCTAGTAGTGTAGTTAGTCAGACTATATCAGATACTGACTCTTGACCCCGAATTTCTACTTCTAGAAATATATCTTTAAAAATTAGCCCAAGGAGCTGGAGAAATAGGTCAGCAACCTGAGTGCATTCTTTGGATGCAGCAGACCCAGGTTTTATCCCCCAATACTGCATACTGCATAGTCCCTGGAATCTTTTACCCCCATCCCAGCACAAAACTAGAATAGTTCCCCAGCACCTCGAAGTGTAGCCCACAAATATCTCTCTCTCTCTCTCTCTCTCTCTCTCTCTCTCATTCTGTCTCTTACTGCTGTCACACACACATACACACACAAAGAGGGAAAAAAAACTTCAAAATTTGGAAGTTATTCATCCCAAGGTTGTTTATGATAATGGCAGCAGTAAAATATTCAATGAACGCTATTAGATTTGGGTTATAAGATTTTTTTAATAAGTAAATTTATAGTGTAAGCAAAACCAAAAAAGAAGTACATTCCAAATGCCTTCTCTTGTTTTCTCCAGATCTTTGAAGATGGCCGTCTGAGCCACTTCATAGACGGCAAAGGCAGTGCCGGGAACTGGATGTCCTACGTCAACTGCGCCCGATTTCCCAAGGAGCAGAACCTCGTTGCGGTGCAGTGTCAAGGGCAGATTTACTACGAAAGCTGCAAAGAGATCTATCAGAACCAGGAGCTCCTGGTGTGGTACGGAGACTGCTATGAAAAGTTTCTGGACATTCCCGTGAGCCTTCAGGTGATGGAGCAGGGAAAGCAGACGGCGGGGCCCTCGGAAGGTGAGTGCACTTCTTTGCCTCTGCCTCCTGGCAGCGAGGGAGCCCTACTTTGTGGAAGAATGGGACTGATTTCCCCAGCCCAACCCCCCGTCCTGCAGTTTGCCTAAAGCCTCTCTGTGTGCCTGTGGAATTCCCCCAAAGGCTAATGCAGGAAACTAAACTGAGGGTGTCTTTACCAGGGGGGCAGTACCCAGCTGGAGGAAAACACCCTCAAATGTGCAAAGCTACTGAAGCTCCTTCTAGTGACAAGGATACCGTTTCTTCTCTCCCTTGATCACCCACCACCCTCCCAACCCCCAAGAATAAAAAAATAAATGGATTGAAACCTTAGGTGAGCCAGTTTGTGATTCATCTCTGCTCAGGCTAACACAGCGAAGTCCAAGCTGGCAGACCATCTTTCCGATGGTGGTCTGCAGTGTCTTAATGGGGTGGGAAATCAATGTAGTGGTCAAGACCAGCATTATAGAAAAAAGAGACACTAAGAATAAAGTAGAATAAGATAGAATAGAACATTTTGAGGGAGGTCTCAATGCCTACTCGGGTGTTTTTTGTTTTGTTTTGTTTTTAGTTTTTTTTGGGGTCACACCCGGCAATGCACAGGAGTTAGTCCTGGATCTGCACTCAGGATTATTCAGGGGACCGTATGGGATGCTGGGAATCGAATCTGGGTTGGCTGCATGCAAGGCAAACACCCTAGCCGCTGTGCTATCTCTCCAGCCCCCTACTCTTGTTTTAAGTATGAGTCTTGGTCAAGTTTGAGAAACAACAAGCTAGACTAAAATTTTATTTTCTGCACAACGTCCAACAGTGCTTAGAGAACTGTGTGGTGCTGGAGAGAGAACATGGGGCTCCTGCTTGCAAAGCTTGTGTTCCCAACTATTGTGGGGGGGGGGACTGGGGTCTGGGGGGCTGGAGGTGTAGGGGCTTGGGAGGTTAAGCCCTGGCGGCTCAGGGCTTATTCCTGGCAGTGCTCACGGGAACCATATGTAGTGCTTTTTTCCTGGTGGCGCTCAGGGACCATATGTGATATTGGGAACTGAACCGGGTTATGTTTTCCCTTTTCTATTGTTACAATGACTGAGAGTCACATGCAGGGACGTTTTGGTTGCAGCATTTACCAGAATCTCACACTTGTGATGTTCACTCATGTGAACCTCATCACCAGCGGTTGTGTACCTGACCACAGCACTCACACATCTTTAGTTACCCTGCTGGTTGGAGTCACATACTTTAAGTTTCAGTGCTTACACACCAGCCTGCAGTGCTGGAACTGCATGCTCTTTGAGGATTGAGGGTCTCAGACAGCTGAGCTGTATGTGCTGAGTGCCTATAGGTGATACTGGGGTTGAGCTCTCAGACTCATATTTGCAAGATCTGGCACTGAGCCATACCCCAGCCCCACTGGGATCTCCATGATTTATTTATTTTATTTTTGTGATAAATCCAGCTTTGCTCAGGACTTATTCCTGGCTTTGGACTCAGGGATCACTCCTGGTGCTTAAGGGTACCATATGGACGTATCAGGAGATTGACCAAGGTTGGCCAGGGGCAAGGTAAGAGCCTTAACCTTTGTACTCTCTCTCTAGCCCCTAGAATACCAAATTTTAATATAAGTGTGAATTCCTCGGGATCTTGAGAAGATGCAGATTCTCATTCAGAACTGATACTGAAAATTGTGCATTCTTCCTTTCTTTAAATTGTGGGTTCCACCCAACAGTGTTGGGGGATTCTCCAACCTTGCAAGCTATCTCCCTTACCCTGGAGAGTTTTTTTTTTTTTTATTTTTGGGTCACACCCAGCAATGCTCAGGATTTACTTTTTGCTCTGCACTCATAAATTACTCCTGAGTAATACCAATATGGTGCTCAGGGGACCATATGGGATGCCAGGAATTGAACCCCGGGTGGTGTTGAAGGCAAACACCCTCCCTACTGTATTCTCTCTGCCCTGGAGAGTGCTTTTCTATCCTGCTGGTCCCTGGACTACTAAACCACTCTGCAGGAGAGAGCTTCTTGGATTTGGATTTTAAATAAGCTTTCCATATGATCTTATCCACACAAAGGTTTGGGAACTACTGATTTTAAGGTGGAATTAAGATGGAAGTACTGGGTCAATGTTTTGTGCTTGGGGATCACTCCCAGAGCTGGGTGAGGAATCAAATGTGATTCTGGGGAATCAGATTGGAGTTGGCTGACTATACTATTTCTCTGGTCCTCGTGTTACTTTTTTGTACCTATATGTGGAATCATATGGGATCCCATGATATTGTGTTATGACAAATAAGCTTAACAACCAGTAAAAGAAAGTCTGCACTCTGTGTCCTTGCCTGACTAAGATCCTTCTAGGACAGGAAATACATTTATTAATACCCCCTGTCTTCAGACCAGACTATGTGTGAAATGGAAGAAAACTTTAGGACTAACTTGGGCAACTTTCTATGGGATTAAATTGAAATAAAGGATGTTTATGGAGGTGTGGGATAGTGAAGTCAGAGGTAAGACTTTGTTCCCCAGGGATTAGAAGGTGAATAATGAGGAGTCTCTTGCAAGAGTCCAGATAATGAGGGTCTGTTAGAAATAATTGTTTTCATGAGCTATCTAGCAGGATATTTCCACTGTATTTGTGGACTACTCTTATTATGTGGCTTGTGTGGGAGTGGTATGGTGAGATTTTCTAGTTTATGGAACTAACATACATATATCCTTTGAAATATTATTTAGTACTTTGTATCAAACCATTTAAATGTTTATAAATGTTTATAAGCTTGGACTTCTTAGTAATGTTCTTCTGGAAAATACATCTTTGGGGCCAGAGATATAATCCAAAGGGAAAGATGTGTGTTTTGCATGTGGCGAAACGCCTTTGTGTAGTGTGTAAAGTTTCACTTTTACAGCAAAGTCATTAATTACATTAACATCGAATAACAGGTAGATGTTGAAGATCACAGTTATGTAAGTGGAACAGGGTGAAGGTCTGATTGATGGTACGTTCACCTGGGCTCTAATTCTGAACCATATTATATTGGAGGGATAGATAGATGTTCTGGGTAGTGTACAGAAGGGAATCTGTATGTATCTTAATTTGTGGGGGAGACTTCTCAGTGAATATGTTTTCTGTTAATAAGGAAGTTTGGGGATAGAATAAGAAAGAAAAATTCATCTGTCCTCTCAGAATTGTCTTTGTCTTAAAAGCTTTCTTCAAGATGCAGTGGGAGGGAAGGAACTGGACCATATGCAGGCGGATTTGGAGTATGCAAGCCCCCCCATGTGTTGGGGTGGGGGTGCTGTAGAGGTGTGGAATGCGAAGATCACTCTCAATTGTTAGCCAACACTGTATCAGTGAGAACTCTGATTTTCCTGTTGTTTTTAGAAATCCTTGGACTAAAGTGGATCCGTTGAGATGAAGGGATTTGGGGAGAGAGACAGAATTTGGCTTGGACATAGTTAGTTCTGAGGACCTGAGTAGAAGTATGAGGTTTAAACCTCCTAAGTAAGGGTGGAGTGTCATTTCAGCCCAAGTATTTGTTCTTACTTTAATTATTGGGCCCGTTCTGAATTTCACTGGGCTTCATGCTATGATTTGTCTCGTGACTCTCTTCCTCAGGAAGCAGGAAAATTAGGTATTTGTAATTTTATTCTGACCAATGGAAATTCTAGCTTGGAGCCCAAACCATCCCAGCAGGGCTTTTGGAAGAGCATTAGCACCTCAATGAAAGTGATAGACTGGCCCGGGCCCTGCCTTGTCCTGAGGTCGGTAGTTCCCTCCCTGGGTTATTTACTTAATGTCTGTTTTTTTCCTTAGCCACCTGTTAAATGTGACTGGGACAAACCCGTCTGCTCACAAACCACTGGAACGCCTCCCTGCTGATGCTAAAGATTTCCATCTACACACTTTCATACACTCTCTCCTGCTCTTTTCTCCTTGGTCAGGACCAGACAATGAGGCCTTGGGAGGGATGCTTTCACAGTCAATGCCACTTGATCCTCTGGAATCCTGAGTGCTCTCAGCAGGGGTGTTTTTATAGGGGTCCCTGTCTCTCCTCATCCCCCCTCCCTCCAATGCATAGACACCCCTGGACCTGGGGACCTCCTTTGCTAGAGTCGGCTGCACCCTCTCTAACTTGGCTTCTCCTGCTTCCATCTCCTTTATTACCTCTGTCAGTGCTGTCACTCATTGGTAAGAATGCCAGGTGTTGGAGTGAATCACCCTAAGTATTAGGGAAGCCCGAACGTTGCCATCCCTACTAGATCCTTGAAGATTGTAGCTCTGTAATCTGCCACCAGCATTCAGAAAAGTGAATTCTAAACTCCTGGCTCATACAGGGTCAAATGGAATAGCACTTGGGAAGCCTGGGTAGGATAGAGTGTCCTTCATTGTTCTGCAGAAGCTGCTTCGACTCTCTAAGTCAGTCTGATCAGAAAAGAATGAAGTCAACGCATATTTCTTTATATTAACCTTGTAACAAGTGTAGGGGGATGGGAGCACGGGACCATACCTATCTGTGCTCAGGCATTGCTCCTGGAAGGGCTGGAAATTAAACCCAGGTCATCTGTGGGCTGTTTAAGGCAAGTGCCTAAATCACTGTGTTATCTGTTTAGCCTTAACAAGTATATTTTTGAACTTTTCTTATATTGGGCTGGAGCAGGGGTTCTTTCAACGTTCAGGAAAAAAAAGAGAATCTTCTGAAAGAGATATAAGAGATAGAGCAGCCAGAAAGGATATGGAGACTTTGTATCCTAAATTGAACAATTTAAATAAATTTCATTTATTTTAATTTTATTTTTTGCTTTTTAATTTAAATGATTATAATTTCTGACTCAAATAATTAAATGTGTATTTGTGTGTATATGTACACATGTGCATTTCTATTAAGGAATTTATTCATTGTATAGGCTTGACACTAGTCTTATGGTATGCTTTTTCTATTTGGTTTGGTTTGGGGGCCACATCCAGCAGTGCTCAGGAGTCACTTCTTCTGGTGACTATTTGCTGTTTTGAGTATCAGACCAAGGCGTGCTGCATGTAAGGCAATTAACCCCTGTGCTATCTTTCTGGTCCAAATATTATCTTTTTTTAAAAAAATTAATTTATTTTTAAAAAATTGTTCACAATAATTTATTACACTCAATATTCCAACACTAATCCCACGAGCATTATACCTTCCCACCACCATATTTTAAACTTCACCCCCCACCCCAAAGCCTGCTCCCAAAGCAGAAGCTAAGCAATTTATTTTGTATTGTTTGTTGTGAATAATCCACTAAGAATGATCTAAAAATTTTCCTTAGAGGAAAGTGTGTGAAGATTGTTGTATCTCACCCTGGATCCATTAAGCCCTTGTATAAGAGATCACTAACATGTCTTTACAGGTTGAGCCTTGTGTGCATAAATATATGAAAATATATATATATATTTAAAATATATATATATTTTTAAATCGAGATTGGTTGCCATCTACTTTACACCCCATCAAATGTGTTACTTTTGGTATATCAGGAGTATAGAGTAGGAGATGTCACTCCAGGAATTCCAAGATTTTAAATACAGATTTTTTTTTTTTGGGTCACACCTGGCGGTGCTCAGGGGACCATAGGGGATGCTGGGAATTGAACCTGGGTCGGCTGCGTGCAAGGCAAACGCCCTACCCGCTGTGCTATCTCTCCAGCCCCAATTCCAAAATTTTCAATAAATGATACAGATGTTATTTTTTTAAAGAAGGGTTTGAGGAATTTATAGATCAAATAATTAGATCAGTTTTGAAATAATTATGGAAGGAAGTCAAGGAAGATGGAAATAAAATTGGCTATGCTCTAGTAGTTGTCAAAAACCCTGCTAATGAACAGGTGAGGGTTTATTTTGAGGGGGGGATGCTCAGGATCATATGCTGTATGGAGATTAAACTGGGCTCATCACGTGTAAGGTAAGCGCCTCAGCTTCTGTGCTATTTCTCTAACCCCTGTCGTTATATTATTTTATCTTGGTTGTATGTTTAGAATTTTCTGTAATATCAGGCTTTCTAAAAATCCTCTTAGGAAGAAACCAGAGCCGTAGTAGTGCAGGTAGAGAGCCCTTACCTTGCATGCTGCATAGCAAACCCAACAAACAAACAGAATCATTGTAGAGGGAAAAATCATCTTGAGGAAGTAAGATGAGGAAAGGAAATTCCAGAGCCCTTGGCACTTAATCCCCTTGTGTTTGACAGAGTCTGCTGATGGTTACAGATGTGAAAGGTGTGGAAAAGTATTTACCTACAAATACTACCGAGATAAGCATCTCAAGTACACTCCCTGTGTGGACAAGGGGGATCGAAAATTTCCCTGTTCGCTCTGCAACCGCTCCTTTGAGAAGAGGGACAGGCTCCGCATCCACATCCTCCACGTACACGAGAAGCACCGGCCTCACAAGGTAAGGAGAGCAGCGATGTTTCTTCGCTCTCACGCTCTGCTTTTATGCCTCTTCCCCCAAACGCTGGGCACACAGTGATGGCCTGTTAGGTGCTGGCTGCTGGGTAGTAATACTCATGAGACAGGAGCTCTGAAGAAGGAAAGCCACTCTGCGTGATGGGACAGTCTAAACCAGCCTGGTGCTGGTCACATGGCATGGCAGGCGAGATGAACAGCCACAAGGAACGTATGTGTCCTAGAGACGAATCTGGAGCTGAGTGTGGAAAGGCAATGGCATATCTGATTTACTGAGGAGGGTGAGCTGGTTGGACGGCTAGGGCAGGCTTGAGACATTCCCACACAGGAAAAATCTTGGCAAGGGGGCTGGAGCAATAGCACAGCAGGTAGGGCGTTTGCCTTGCACGCGGTCGACCGGGTTCGATTCCCAGCATCTCATGTGGTCCCCCGAGCACCGCCAGGAGTAATTCCTGAGTGCACGAGCCAGGAGCCAGGAGTAACCACGATGCATCACCGGGTGTGACCCAAAAACCAAAAATAAATAAATAAAATTTTGGCCAGAAAATACCAGTCACTTGAAAGAGGGAGGGCAGAACTTGGGCACACAGAGATTCAGGTTTGACTCCTGGCCTTGTCAAAGTATGCTTTGAAGCTAACTGCCTAAGCCAGCCCTCGCTTCGCAGCTACCTTGCTACTTCGCTCACATGCTGTCGTATGTCCATTGGAGTCTTGATAGTTACCGTATACGAGTTTTGTAATTCCAAGATCATTTTACCATTAAGACAGTGAAATGACTTTTTTCAACTGATCAGACAGGAGAAAAGTAGAAAGTTTATATATGCTAATGATGCCAAGTTAGAAACATTATTTTATGTATCAGTTGGTCAGATAAATCATACACTGGTTGTGTAGATTGTGGCCTAGTAGGTGAAACCAGGTTGTTGGTTTACCTACTGCCCGGAGAGCGTATACTAGCATATGTATGCCATGACCTGTACGTGGAACTGTACCTGTACGTGGAAAACCCACATATTACAGTGTTGTCATTCTAGGAGTAGGTTTGGAAATGAGAGCAATTTTTTTGTGTTTTCACTTGGTAAACTAACTTTATCTGATGTCCTACAGTGATTGGTATCATACTAAATTTATGCTGAATTTGTCATGTCTGTTACCCACTTCTGATTATTTCTTAATTGCCCTTAGGCTTTTTTTTTTTTTTTTGAAGTGCCAGGGATTGAACCCAAGGCTTCATACATGCAAGACAAGTGACTCACCTTTGAGCTATATCCCTGACCTCCTGATTATTTCTTTATTCCAAAGAATTAAGAGTCCTAGAAGTAAAACACCAAATAATCAGGTTAAAGAGTTTGTTAGGATGCCAAATAGTTTTTCAGATGAAGTGTCAGTTTTAAATGCTGGGTTTCCAAGGGTAAGCTGCATCACATCTCTTGTAATAATAACTCCTTTTTTTGTTTGGTTAGTTTTTATTTGGGGGCCACACCTGGCTGTGATCAGGAGTTATTTCTGGCTCTACACTCAACGGGACCATATGGGATGCAGGGATTGAACCAGGGTCAGCTATATGCAAGGCAAATGCCATACCCATTTTACAATTGCTCTTGTCCCTAATAGCTCCTTTTTATTTGATTTTTTTTTTTTTGGTTTATTTTTAGGCCATACATAGTGGTGTTAAGCACTTCTGTGCTCAGAGGTCAATCCTGATGGAGTTGATCCTTTTAAATATTTCCGTTTATTGATAGATGAAAAGGATTTCTTGGAGTCAGAGAGGTAGTACAGACCCTTACCTTGTGTGCGACTGACCAGAATTCCATCTCCGGCATTCCATAGAGTCCCCTGAGCCTGCCGGAAGTGATCCCTGAGCACAGAGCCAAAAATAAGCCTTGAGCACTGCCTGGTGTGACCCAAAAACAAAACAGAACAAAAAAAGGTTTCTTATTGGGAATGTAATCATAGAATAGCAGGCAGGGGGCTTGCCTTGCATGCAGCCACCTGGATTCAATCTCTGGTACCTCATATGGTCTCCAAGTCCTACCAGGAGTAAGCCCTGAGCATCACCATAAGTGGCCCCACATTACAGCTAAAAAAAAGAAAATAGGATTTCTACTAGTGAGACTTATTTTTTTTTTTTATCTTTTTGGGTCACGCCCAGCGATGCACAGGGGTTATTCCTGGCTTTGCATGCAGGAATTATTCCTGACGGCACTCGGGGGACCATATGGGATGCTGGGAATTGAACCCAGGTCAGCTGTGTGCAAGGCAAACACCCTGTCCGCTGTACCATTGCTCCAGCCCAGAGATTTAAATTTTAAAAATGTAGTATTTAGGGTGGAGGGTTTGGGCCCACAACCAACAGTGCTTAGAAGTTACTCCTGGCTCTGCATGGAGGAATCACTTGGGACCATTTGGGAGGCCAGGATTGAACCCAGACTCAAAACATATTTAAGCATTTTGTGTTTGTCTTGTGGTTTGTCAGTTCATATTCTTTCAACATAAATTTTACTCTTTTTTTAATTGTGCCATGCTTACAACATACAGCTCTATGTGGAAGGCAGGTCAGGTATTTTGCACAGGAGGAAAAACTGGAAATGAAACTCCAAACTGAAGTGGATTGTACTTGTCAGGTAGCAGCTTGTTGACAAACCAGGACTAATTCAGACTGTTAGTAAAAAACACTGATCCTATTCAACTTTCGTTCAATGAATTGCCTACTGTCGGTGCATTTGAGCAGCTCTACATGAGAAGCCATTAGTGGTTCTTGAGTGAAGACTAGGACGTCCAGATCACCTCAGAGAATCCCTCCCCTAGCATCTACTTGTGCTCATGGACAAATACACACACAGTACTAAGTTCACTCCAGCCCAGATAAGCATAATAGTGACGTGACCTTGTTAAGGAAAAGTGATTTTAATCATATTTTTCTTTTTTGATCTTAGTGTTCTACATGTGGAAAATGTTTTTCTCAGTCTTCCAGCTTAAACAAACACATGAGAGTCCACTCTGGAGACAGACCCTACCAGTGTGTGTATTGTACAAAGGTAAAAACAAGTGAAATCTTTGTTTGTTTTTGGGGCCCACACCTGGCGGTGCTCTGGAGTTACTCCTTGTCTCTGCACTAAGGAATAACTCTTGGTGGTCTTGGAGGACCATATGGAATGCCAGGGATAGAATCTGGGTCAGCAGCATACAAGGCAAATGCCCAGCCCACAAAGAAATCCTTAAAGGATTTTGGAAACCCTGTTTGGGTTTCTATAGTTAAGAACTGGAAGACAGTGCTGGAGAAGTAATATAGCAGTAAGGCACTTGCCTTGAACATCAAAAATTGTTTGATTCCCACAGAGCCCCGCCTGATCCCAACCAGGAGTTAACCCATATGCACTTTGGGGTGTGGCCCACTTACCTACCCCCACCCCCCAAAAGAATTTGAAGCTTAGGTCTCAGTAAATTATTTCATATCATAATTCAGTCCTCATTTCTACTTCCATATATGTTCATTTGCTTAAGATGGCCAGATATAACCAACCTCCTGCCAAATTGCCATTTAAGACATGGAACCAAATGTACCAGGAGCTGTTGACATGGTTATGAGGAATTAAACACTGATTCTTGGGTCTAGAGTGATTGAACAATATGGTAGTGCACTTGCCTTATGGTCTGCCGAACCCCACCAGGAGTGACCCTGAGCACAGAGCCGTTATTAGTCCTAAGAACTGCTAGGTATGGTCTGAAAAACAAACAGCAGCAACAAAATAACAGAGACTCTTAATTGCAGCCACGTGATTCCTCAAGCTAAGGATGGAATCATCATTTCATCATCCTTTTGATAAGTAAAATGTTCTGCATCTTGGGCAGAGAGACAGCACAATGGGTTAAGGAGCTCACCTTGCATGTGACCAACTCTGGTTTAATCCTCATCACCACAACATTTGGTCCCTCAGCACTTCTGGGAGTGATTCCTGGGCCCCACTGGGTGTGGCTCCTTCCCCCCAAAATTCTGTATCTGAATTGTCAACAATGTGATCTCCTTTATGATATAACTGTTTAGCAGATTAAGTAAAGGGGATACAGTGTTTTTGTTATTTTGGTGTTTTCTGTAACAGGCATTAAACCCAGGGCCTCACACACAAGTCCCCCGTTCTATCACTCACCTACATCTTGAGCCCTTTTCTCTCTTAATTGCATATGAGGGGCAGGGAGAATGGCTTAAAGTGTTGCAGCACATGTGCATGTGAGAGATCTAAATTCACCTGTGCCCCTTGAGCACATCCGCAGGCACCAAACTGGGAGTCATCATCTACCCCAGCACTGCCTGGTACGCCGCCTGCAAACTGAAGAGTATGTGATTATCTCTCCAAGTGTCTTAAACTATAAATGGGAGAAACCAGTAAGGTTCTAGCCTATGCAAAGATATTGGCCAGTATTAATTACTCTTGACTGTGCACTTTGTCTTGAAGTGTGGTCTTTCCTCTAATGTAACTGCTCGTTCAGTTTCCTAGTCTGCATTTTGTGGGGTTTGGGGCCACACCCCGCAGTGCCCAGGGTTTCTTTCTGGCTCTGTACACAGGAGTTCGTTTTGGCAGTGCTCCAAGGACCATACGTGGTGCTGGTGATAGAACCTAGGTCAGCTACCTCCCTGCCCCTTAAACCTGTATTTTGGACAGATCTTTTTTTTTTCTCTTTTTGGGTCACACCCAGTGATGCTCAGGGGTTATTCCTGGTTCTGCGTCAGGAATTACACCTGGCGGTGCTTGGGGGACCATATGGGATACCAATGTCAGCCGCGAGCAAGGCAGATGCCCTACCCGTTGTACTGTCGCTCCGGCCCCAAGATCTTTAGGTAATCTTAGCCACAGCAGATCCAAGGCTTTACCAAGTCCACCCCGGTCTCCCAAGCTCAGATGCCACTTTCACAACCTCAAATTACTTCTCAGGAGCAATAAAAGTGACCCCTTTTTTTAGTGGGTTGTCTCCGGCTCAGGGAAGTTTCCTTTCTCTCCTGCCTTCTGCCCTCCGCAGAAATTCACGGCCTCCAGTATCCTCCGCACACACATCAGGCAGCACTCCGGGGAGAAGCCTTTCAAGTGCAAGTTCTGTGGGAAGTCCTTCGCCTCCCACGCGGCTCACGACAGCCACGTCCGCCGCTCGCACAAAGACGAGGAGCCCGGCCTGTGTGGCATGTGCGGAAAGACCTTCCCGGAGGCAGAGGCCTTCTGCGCCCACCTGAAGTCACATGAAGACTGCTCGTCCTCCAACCCCGTGGCTCGCGGTGCAAGCTAAGGACCGGAATTCAGACTTTCCCCCCCCACTTCTGTGTCCGTTGCCAGATTGTATGAGCAAATGATTATTTATCTTGAGCTGAGAAACACGAGCATGGCCCTAAGCAGAGAGCTGCACGTCCTGGATCCCTGACCCGGCTCTTGTGAAAACTACCGTCACCCATGCTGCAGGGCTCAGGCATCTCCCCTCCACGAGCTGCGATGCTTTATTTCAGGGCCGTAAGAAGGTGATGAAGAAGATGACGTTCTCATGCCCTCTGCCTTGGTTTCCTTCCAGTTGTAATTTGTCTGTGACTGTCACTTGTTAATATTTCTTTGTAGGATAAATTAAAAAAAAAAATTTCCAAGTCAGTAAGTGCTTTATCAGTAATTATAACTAAGTGTCCATGTGAATTAACCTGTAATCTACCATCTTTTTGTTTGTTTGTTTGTTTTCAGTTTGGGGACCATACCCGGGGATGTTCAGGAGTTTCTCCTGGCTTTGTACTTATGAATTATTCCTGGCGGTGCCCTGGGGACCATATGGGATGCCAGGGATCAAACCCGGGACAGTGGCATGCAAGACAAACCCCCTACCCACTCCACTATTGCCCCTAATTTACCATCCTTTTTTTTTTAATCTTCCCATTCTTAACTTGTCACATGACAAACGTTTGTTAACTTGTTTAACTTCAAACAAAACTACCTAAGGAACACAAAAATTAGTTATGTTCTCACTATTTGTGACCAGGTCTGATGAGGGAAGCAAATATTAAAGAAAGGCTTTGAAAAATGGCAACAAGGGCCAGAGAGATAGTCTAGCAGAAAGTATGTGGCCAGGTACGGTACAGATGACCCAGGTTTGATCCCTTGAAACTGTCTGTCCCACAACACTGACGGGAGTGATCCCTGAATACAGGGCCAGGAGTAAGCCCTGAGCACCAATGGGCATTGCCCCAAAACAAACAAAATGGCAAGAGGCGACAGAAAAATAATATAGCAAGTAGGGAACACTTGCCTTGCCGTGTTTGATCCCAGGCACTATACGATCCCCAACGTACCACCTATACACAGACCCAAAAAAAGCAACTGTCTAGATAGTACAAGGGGTAATTTGCTTACTCTGCATGCAACTGATGAAGCCTCAATCTACTAGGCATGATCCCCGAGCACAGAGACAGGAGAGAGCTATGAGCACTGTCCGGGGTGGCAAAAAAAGTAAAAAAATTACAAACAGGCTGATCAGTAAATAATTATTTATATTGCTCTAGTTTTACACCTACATGGAGTATGTGTTTGTACATAAGGTTGGTGAAAACATGTGGAGAGTGATCTTAACGTGTGAGTGATAATCAAGTTTTTAACCCACAAGATGGTCCTTACTGAGTTCACCAGTTTACAGAGAAATGGGCTGAAGTACAGGGTGTTTGTCTTCATGTGGCCCTACTGGATTCTGATCCCCTGTGGTTCTCTGAGCCCTTTAGGAGTCTTTCCTGAGCACCTCCGGGTGTGGCTCAAACAAACAAAAATTTTAGGACAGGGAAATGGAAGCTGAGAGTCAGGAGGTGGTCCAGAAAATCAGGTGCTAACTCTCAAGCCCAGCCTTTTAATGGACCCGTGGTTTTGATTGACATCCTGCTAAGGAAAGAGGTTTTTTGTTTTTTTTTTCTTTTTAGTTTTTGAACCACTCCTGGTTGTGCTCCAGACTCCTGGCTCAATGCTCAGAGATCACTTCTGGGGCTTTGGGACTGTGTGCAGCCTTGGGCGACCTTGGCTGCCGTGTCTAAGCCGTAGTTCTGTTGACTGCCTAGAATTTTTCCTCCCGTTTTCCATGGTCCTCCTCTCCGAATGAAGCAGTTTCATCCTGGAGCAGATGTCGCTTCCAGAGATGCTCGCAGCTGCAGGGGCCTCGGAGACAGATGTAGTGCAGGTGGAAAAGCAGTGACCGATCTTCCTCCAGGGAACTCTTTGCTGCCCTGACTGGGTCGGAGTAATTTATCCTAATGGGAATGTGCCCTGTTGTTTTAGGACTGCTTTAGTTCATGTTAATTAAGTCAGACAATGATTTTTTTTTTTTAAAGATTGGGGACTCCTCCTGTAATTAGGCCATCTTTCTTTGACTGCTAGTTCAAACTATATGTCTTACTGCTTAGGGGTTTGAATGTTATTTTAAAATCAAACAGTAACGCAAGACACCAGAATCTGCTGAGATGACAATTTTTCCATAAATTTAATAATTCCAACCAACTACTTTGTTCTTTAAATTAGAATAGCACCAAAGAACAATAAACCTTTCCCCCCCCCCCTTTGACTTTCTCTGTTTCTCCAAAATGCATGATCAGCTGAGTTTTCTTGGGACATGCATATACTTATGCATGCATATACTTATGCATGTCCCAAGAAAACTAGAAAAGTTGACCAACTACTTAATCTAACCCCTTTTCCATAAAGTTAACATTGATAGGCTACATATCCTTTGAAAAATAAAGTTAGTCAGTCCATTATATCTTTCTTTAATAATCATAATAATCACCTTAAGCTTTTTTTTGGGGGGGATGGTGGCAGGGGATTTGAGAAGAAGGAGCCACACCAGGTTGTACTCAGGGCTTACTCCTGGCTCTGTGCTCTGGAATCACCCCTTCCGTGCTTGGGAGACCATATGAGATGTCAGCTGCATGCAAGGCAAGTGCCTTACCCATTGTAGTATCACCCTGGCCCCATCTTAAACTTATTTAAGATTACTTAAAATTAAGATACATATCTTAAGTATTTCTGAAGATATTTGGAGCCAGTTTATAAGAATAACTTTTTTATAAGAGTGATTTTTAGGCTGGAGCGATAGAACAGCGGTAGGGCGTTTGCCTTGCATGCAGCCAACATGGCCGTCCCGAGTTCGATTCCTCCGCCCCTCTCGGAGAGCCCGGCAAGCTGCCGAGAGTATTCGATATGCCAGACACAGTAACAACAAAGTCTCCAATGGAGACGTTACTGGGCCCGCTCGAGCAAATCGATGATCAACGTGAGGGCCTTTACTTTACTTAAGAGTGATTTTTAAAACCAGGCTAAGACTTTAAAAGTTTAGAAGACCACATTGAAAGTGAAAAGAATTAAAATTATACTCATATCTCTCAAAACTTAGAACTAAAACTTAGCCACTGAGTTTGTTAAATTTTAAGGGCTGGAGAGAGAGTACAACAGAGTACACTTGCCTTGCACATGGCCAACCCAGGTTCAATCCATGGCACTTCATATGGTCCCCTGAGCACCGCAAGAAGTAATCCCTAAGAAAAGATCCAAGAGTAACCCCTGACCACCACTGGTTATAGCGTAAATACCCCAAAACCCACCTACATTACGTTTGTGCACCATTTCCTTATTTTATAATATTAAAGCCAGTCATTTAATTTTAACTTTTGAGGCTGAACATCCCCCCATACATAAAATGATGTAATAATTTTATTGTAAGAGTTTATGAGAATGAAGTAAAATGTAATCATTTGTATTCTGATTATGAGACTGACGCGCTGCCTACTGCGCTAAGGAGGCAACTATCATTTGTATTCTGGATGATACTTAAGAAAGCTACTTTTGCCTTGCACTCGGCAAACCTGGGTTTGATTCTCAGCATCCCATATGGTCCCCTGAGCACCGCCAGGGGTAATTCCTGAGTGCAGAGTCAGGAGTAACCCCTGTGCATTGCCAGGTGTGACCTAAAAAGAAAAAAAAAAGCTACTTTCTTTCTCTTAATCTGTACATTCAGGACAAAGAAAGAAAAATTCAATTTTAGTTCCAGTCTTATTATTGGCAGTGCTGTCAGTGAATCTCAGAGTGATTCCTGGGCCAGCAGCACCACACTGCTCAGATTTTCTAATCTTTCGTTTTTGGGGAAAAGGGGCTGGAGTGTGGGGCTTGGATTTTGGATCACTCTCAGTTGTACTCAGGGCTTTTTCCTGGCTCTGAGCTCAGAGATCAGTTCTGGTTGGCTTGAGGATCATATGAAGTGCCAGAGATTGTACCTGGGGCAGCCAAGTGTTAGGCAAGCGCCCTTCTTTCTGCACTATCACTCTGGCCCCTGATTCACTACTCTTACTCGTATGTACACACAACAACCTGAAGTTTGAGAACCACTGCTTTATTTATCCTTCTTGTCCCTGTTACATGGCAGTGGGCAAACCTCTGCTCAGTGACTTGGCAAAAATCACAGAGCTGTTCATTAGAATGCAGATTGCAGACAGAATAGTGTTCTTCCTGGGAATAATGGATATCAGTAGCAGAGTTTCACATTTTGCTGGAAATACCAGACTCCACTGCTAGAAGCCCAAGTCACGGAATATAGAGGACTTCACATAGCATAGTTTCTTTGCTCATTTTTTTTTAACCTGAGTATCTAATGATACATATTCATTCACTGTTTAGAGTCTTCGTGCACATTTGTATGGGGGAACATCTGAACCCTGGAAAAATAACTAGGCTTAAAGTGGCATCTACAATATTGATGGAGCCTTTAATAGGTCTTCAGGGTGTCCTAATAGTCAGGGAAGTTTCCAGTTGCATTGAACAAAGCTATTGAGTAGACAGATGCTTGGGGCTTCCACAATGACCACAAACTCATGGTTCAGTTTGTAGTTGGGTGCGGGGAGGTTGGGGTATGCAAACTACCATACACAGTATGATTTTTAAAATTAAAAAAAAAAAAGATGGGGCTGGAGAGAGTACAGGGGGAAGGTGCTTGCCTTGCATGCTGCCAACCAGGTTTGATCCCCTGCATCCATATGTCTGAGCCTGCCAGGACTAATCCCTGAGTGCAGAGCCAGGCGAAACCCCTGAGCATAACCAGGTAGGTGACCCAAAACCAAAACAAAACAAAGAAAACCACAATATGATAGAAAGCCACAGATCCTACCCAAGACCATTTCTCATGTCTTAGTGGTCTGCCATATTGCTGGGGATCACTCCCAGCCTTCATCAGCGTCCTTGAGGTACTGGAAGTGAACCAAGCCTCGCAAATGCACAACCGCCCAC